GAAAACACAGAAAGAATAGTTTTACTGAAGTATCTAAAAAAATTAGACATTTGAAAATATAATTTCGTTAAACCTTCAAAATAATTATTTGGGACACTTAAGCATAATGATAACTTTGCCGCTAAACAATTTTGACGCTCTACCATCAATTTGAGTATTCTATTATTTTATTGGTCCAACAAAATTGTTTTCAGCTTTGTATCCAACTGAATTTTTAGATTTAGCAAAATCGTTCTTTTCGTATAATAAGCAGCGACTACAATGAGATATTAAGGGGTAAAACTTAACTTTCCAGCCTCAGGCTATCTTAATTGACCAATCGTAGTCGAATGTGAGGAGAATATCTGACTATTTCGTTAATTTCTTCCAACTTAAGGCTTAAAAAGCTGAAAATTTCATTTTAGACGCCGCTTAAAAATGGTAACTAAAGAACAGTTAGTCGAAAGTGCGACTTTAATGTGTCTCTTTCTCTCACGATACCCAACTGTATTGAATTTACAACAATCATAAGTACGAGTATATTATTCTCGTATATTATTCGGCGGACGCGTAATATTCTTCAACAATTTGTGTTTCTCCGCCATCGGCAGAACGCGGTTCTTAAATAATCGAGACAGTGAGACGGATCTTTTTATCTGTGGTTGACGAGGGGCCATATTGATATGCAAACACCGAAGACAGCACACCGAGCGTAATTGAGTGGTCCGGTTTAAAATGGATATCGTGCACACGGAGGCCTTTCGGGAGGGCAGAAGACCGCCATTGTACACCCACATACACCGAGTTGCACACTTAACACAGCACCCGACCGACCATCCTCATAATCGTATAAGCGGGAAGACGACTTTTAAAGCTCGTTTTTCCTCTCCCTTTCTCTCTGCCCTTTACCTCTCGACTAATAGTTTTAAGCTAATGGCTCCCTCGACTAACTTCGATCCGACACTCTGACGCACATCCCCGCGCTTATGGAACCGCTCCGAGTATTTTGCACGGCTTGATGCAAACGAGCTTTTAACGTCGTGTCCGAGGGTGAGAAAGGAGTAGCAGAAAGAAGAAGAGAAGCGTGAAAAAGAAGGGTGAAAGAACGCCCAAAAATAATATCGCCAAAAGCGCGAATTTCTTTACGTTCGAAAGGAAAATACGCTCTCCCGTGAGAATATGTGTTTTTTTTTTTTTTTAGCTCGTCAAAATCCCTCGCGTATGCCGTTAAAAACTGTTCGCCATTACCGCGATATCGCGAATATGCGGCGGATCGCGCAGATAAACGCGCCTCGTATATTCTTAACGCATCTCGTAAACCGTAATTAATATACCAAATTCTCCACCGCCGCTCTAAGAAACGGGAAACATATCGACGCTCGTTACCGTGCCCAACGTTTTCCTGAATGCGCTATTCATCGCGTGGCTCGATAATTAGTCGAAGAAAGCGATTCAGGCGAGCGCGCTCGTAAACTCGTGTTCATTACCGCTGTTGCTGCTCGCGCATATCGTATTATATATAATAATTAGGATTGATGGCGTCCAACTATTTTCCGCGGTTCACTCGGGCCTCCGAGAATATT